CCTCACATCACACCTATTTTACAGACCTCTAACGTTTGTTACACCTGTTTTTGCTTCTTGTTTGGGTCTTGGTCTTGATTCTGTTCTGGTCTTGGTACTTTTCCTGGTTCTGGTTCTGGTCATGTTATGATCCTCGCTCAGTTCTGTTCCTGGTTCTGGTCCTGTTCTGGTCCATGTTCTGGTTCTGGTCCTGGTTCTGGTTCTGGTCCTGGTCTTGGTTTAGTCCTGGTTCGGATGTGACTCTCCCTGTGTAATCACATGTTTAATCCAATTTACCAAACCAGTCATGTGACCAGAGGAGGTCATGTGTCTGTTCAAAATATTTAATTTAGTTTAAGAACCAAATGACCTTTGATTGTATCTGTGTGTGTGTGTGTGTGTGTGTTGTGTCTGTATGTCTGTCTGTGTGTGTGTGTGTGTGCGTGTGTGTGTGTGTGTGTTGTGTCTGTCTGTGTGTGTGTGTGTGTGTGTGTGCGTGTGTGTGTGTGTGTGTGCGCGTGTGCATGCCTGTGCATGCGTGCGTGGCAGTCTGCTGCTGTACCGCCTGTAGAATGTGAACCACAACTGAGAAGTCAAACCTGTTCAACAAGAGGAAGTCACAAAACAGAACTTTATGACAACCCACAGATAACCCAGAGAGAGACCAGAAAGAGACCAGAGAGGGACCAGAAAGAGACCAGAGAGGGACCAAAGAGGGACCATAGAGACCAGAGAGACCAGAGAGACCAGAGAGACCAGAGAAACCAGAGAGAGACCAGTCCCTTTCGGCTGAGACAAAGCCACGGAGCTTGATCATGCACAGGTCAGAACACTCTTCACTTCAGAATCTACAGATTAAACGTTCTGTTAAAAGATGTTAAAGATGTTAAAGCTGTGGTATGTAACTTTTAAACCAGGACAACAGAACTCCGTCCTAAACCCTGCTCTAAAACAGGTCTATCACTGGTTTTCATAAGTGTATTTTGTCACAGCTTGAGATCAGATTTTTCATTCCATTTCCTGGAGTTCACATTGTTTTATCATTGCCCACATATCAGGCAAAAAATTCATGGTAACACTTTAGATTAGCATTCACTAATTAAGTGCTAATTAGAGTATGGTTTGTGGTCAATTTGCTCTTATTTGGTATCTATTAAGCACTTTTATGTCCTTATTCTACATGGCCTTAGTCAACATCTAACTACTGAGTCTTTCCTATTTGGGTTAGTGTTAAGGTTAGGATACACTAATTAGAACTCAATTAGCTATTAATTAGTCAGGGCTAATCTAAAGTTTCACCAACAACTTTCTTCAGACATTTTCAAATGTGATGATTTGAACTCTGTAGTTTCACTGAGACCTGTGTGGAGCAGGTCGTCTTATAGACGTGTGTAAAGCTGTCCCATATAGACCTCTGTGGAGCTAGTCCTCACATAGACCTGTGTAAAGCTAGTCCTCACATAGACCTGTGTAAAGCTAGTCCTCACATAGACCTGTGTAAAGCTAGTCCTCACATAGACCTGTGTAAAGCTAGTCCTCACATAGACCTGTGTAAAGCTAGTCCTCACATAGAAAAATAGCTCAGATGACTGCGCATGAGCGCATGTTTCGGACAAACTCTGTCCGACTCTGTTACTCACTACACTACTGTGTTCTCAACATACGCGTGTGTATTTATTTGGGCTAAATCATTGAATCATGGTTCCGATCTCCCCTCGGGTCTCTTCCTGGTCTCCCCCATTCTCACTCGCCTATCAGAGCTCTGTGAATTGCCTCAGTTTGTGTGTGATTCTGTGATCTCTCTGTACATTTTGCAGACCCGTACCTCAGCCACCCCCTGTGTCCCCCCCGGTCTCCCCCCCGGTCTCCCCCACCTCACAGAACTCCTTGAACCTCCTGCAGTTTGAATGTGAGTTCCCGCAGGAGGAAGGGCATCCAGCTGAATCCCTGACGGTGCTTCTGCCGGCTCAGTGCAGCGTGTACCAACTGAGGCTGAGGATCTGCATCAGTCTGCAGGTAACAGCTACCCGGGGCCTCAGTGCGACCCAGGGCCTCAGAGGGACACAGGGCCTCACAGCAACCCGGGGCCTCAGAGGGACCCAGGGCCTCACAGCGACCCAGGGCCTCAGAGGAACCCAGGGCCTCACAGGGACCCAGGGCCTCACAGCAACCCAGGGCCTCACAGAACTGCCAAAAATTAGAAAATCAAACAGTTAAAAACACTAATGTGCCTGTGTGTATCAACGTGTGTATATCTGTGTCTGTGTGTATCTATGCATGTGTGTATCAATGTGTGTATATCTGTGTCTGTGTGTATCTATGCATGTGTGTATCAATGTGTGTATATCTGTGTCTGTGTGTATCTATGCATGTGTGTATCAATGTGTGTATATCTGTGTCTGTGTGTATCTATGCATGTGTGTATCAATGTGTGTATATCTGTGTCTGTGTGTATCTGTGTGTGTGTAAATGTGTGTGTGTGTATCTGTGCGTGTGTGTATCTATGTCTGTCGTCATGAAGTCATTTGAACGCCTGGTCCTCTCCCATCTCAAGTCCTTCACCTCCCCCCTCCTGGACCCCCTGCAGTTCACCTACAGAGCCAACAGATCTGTAGACGACGCCATTAACCTGGTCCTCCACCACATCCTACAGCACCTGGACTCCCCGGGGACCTACGCCAGGGTCCTGTTCGTGGACTTCAGCTCTGCCTTCAACACAATCCTGCCATCCCTGCTCCAGGACAAGCTCTCCCAGCTCAACGTGCCCGATTCCACCTGCAGGTGGATCACTGACTTCCTGACAGACAGGAAGTAGCGAGTGCGTCTGGGGAAGAATGTCTCGGACTCTCGGATTATAAATACAGGAGCCCCACAGGGCTGTGTTCTTTCTCCTACCGAAAGAACCTCCCTCCTGTTCTTACCTACAGGAGGGAGGTGGACCGGCTGGTGTCCTGGTGCAGTGGTAACAACCTGGAGCTGAACGCCCAGAAGACAGTGGAGATGATTGTGGACTTCAGGAAGAGCACTGTCCCCCCGCCCCCACCCTCCGTGATGGACTCCCCCATCACCTCTGTGGAGTCCTTCCGTTTCCTGGGCACCACCATCACCCAGGACCTCAAGTGGGAGCCGACCATCAGCTCCCTCATCAAGAAGGCCCAGCAGAGGATGTACTTCCTGCGGCAGCTCAAGAAAGCCAAGCTGCCTGCACAGATGTTGGTGCAGTTCTACACGGCCATCATCGAGTCCATCCTCACCTCCTCCATCACCTCCTCCATCACCGTGTGGTTCGATGGAGCCACAGTCAGGGACAAACAGAGACTACATCGCATTGTGCGCTCTGCAGAGGAAGTGATTGGCCGCAGCCTTCCATCGCTGCAGGACCTGTACGTCGCCCGAGCTCGAGGCCGGGCTGGTCGTATCACAGCCGACCCCTCTCACCCTGCACATGGACTATTCCAACCACTCCCCTCAGGCAGGAGGCTGCGGTCCATCAGGACTAGAACCTCCCGCCACAAGAACAGTTTCTTCCCCTCTGCTGTTGGACTCTTGAACACTTCTTAACCTGTCCCCCCGCCCTTTATAAAGTCACTTTACTGCCCATCATACGTCACTTTACTTCACTGTACTGCTGTCACCTTACATTGTGTGCACCATGTGGACTTGTATATTGTAAATAGTAACTGTAACTCTATTTTAAATCTAAATTTATTCCTTAGAAGTGTTTTTTATTCTTTATTTTTATTATCTCTTTCTGACTGTTGCACCGAGCCAAAGCAATCTCCAAGTCTGTGACCTCCTGTTACTTACGTGGCAATAAAAATGATTCTGATTCTGATGTGTGTATATCTGTGCTTGTGTATATCTGTGCTTGTGTATATCTGTGCGTGTGTGTATCTATGTGTGTATATCTGTGTGTGTATACAGTATCTGTGTGTGTGCGTGTGTATCTGTGCATGTGTGTATCTGTGCGTGTGTGTATCTATGTGTGTATATTTGTGTGTGTGTGTGTGTGTATCTGTGGGTGTGTATCTATGTGTGTATATCTGTATGTGTGTGTGTGTATCTGTGCTTGTGTGTCCCAGTGGGTCGTGTGAGTTGTGTTCTAACCTCTGGGTCTTGTGCCTCAGTCCCAGGTGCGAGGCTCGTTCCCGGAGCCCCTCAATGTCCTCGACCCGGAGAAGAGCAGTCTGCTGTACCAGAGAGAGGACCAGTGGTACGAGGCCTACGACGACGGCCAGGTCCTCCGCACCCTGCACATCCCCTGGAGCCCCGGCCAGGACGGGATCATGTGTGCTCGGGTCCTGGTCAAAAAGGTACAACAGGTCTGAGTCTTTAGACCCAGGACTGAGGGTGTAGATCCAGGACTTGGGCTGTAGATCCAGGACTGAGAATGCAGATCCAGGACTGAGGCTGTATACCCAGGACTGAGGCTGTAGATCCAGGACTGAGAATGCAGACCTAGGACTGAGGCTGTAGACCCAGGACTGAGACTGTAGATCCAGGACTGAGAATGCAGACCCAGGACTGAGGCTGTAGACCCAGGACTGAGGCTGTAGATCCAGGACTGAGGCTGTAGTCCCAAGACTGAGGCTGTAATACCTGTGTCCCTCCAGGTGGTGGCGTTGGACTCGGAGCTGAGACAGTCTCAGCAGAAGCTCCTCTCGTACCTGATTGGTCACGATGTTGAGGCCGAGGCCCGTGAGCGTCTGGATGAGCTGACCTTCACACGCCGCAAACTGGCGTCGTCACGGAGACAAGCCCTGGCCGGCCGGGACCCGGAGCTCTACGCCACAGAGCCCTGGGTCACAAAGTCCCCTCTGACCGCCGAGATGACCGCTCTGCTGACGAGGAGGCTCATGGTCAATGTGCACTACAGCCGAGACTTTAGCTTCATGGTCAAGATGGAGTACAGCGACACACCAGAGACACTGCTCAAGGTGAGAGACCAGAGAGAGACCAGAGAGAGACCAGAGAGAGACCAGAGAGACCAGAGAGAGACCGGAGGGAGACCAGAGAGAGAGACCAGAGAGAGACCAGAGAGACCAGAGAGAGACCAGAGAGAGACCAGAGAGAGACCAGAGAGACCAGAGAGAGACCGGAGGGAGACCAGAGAGAGAGACCAGAGAGAGACCAGAGAGACCAGAGAGAGACCAGAGAGAGAGACCAGAGAGAGACCAGAGAGACCAGAGAGAGACCGGAGGGAGACCAGAGCGAGACCAGAGAGAGACCAGAGAGAGAGACCAGAGAGAGAGACCAGAGAGAGACCAGAGAGACAGACCAGAGAGAGACCAGCGAGACAGACCAGAGAGAGACCAGAGAGAGACCAGAGAGACCAGAGAGAGACCGGAGAGAGACCAGAGAGAGACCAGAGAGAGAGCAGAGAGAGACCAGAGAGAGACCAGAAAGAGTGGCCAGAGAGAGACCAGAAAAAGACACCAGAGAGAGTGGCCAGAGAGGGAAAAAAGAGAGAAACCATAAAGAGAGAGACCATCAGAGACCAGGACAGAGACTGGGACTGAGACCAGGACTTAGACCATGACTAGAAAACCTGTGATGCCGTAGACCAGAGGTGTCCAAACCGGTCTCAGTCTTGGTCATAGTCTCAGTCTCAGTCCCATTCTCAGTCCTGGTCTCTCCCACAGACCTGCCGGACAGCCCTCGTGGAGAGGGGGATCTCCCCATCGGAGCCTCTCCTTCTGAAGGTCTCTGGTCGGGAGGAGTTCCTGAGTGGCCCTCACCCCTTCAGCTCCTTCCTGTGGGTGAGGCAGTGTATGAAGACCCACCTGGACCTGCACCTGTCCCTCCTCCCCCGCTCCTGCCTCCCCCCTGACTCCCTGGACCATGTGGACTGGCCCCTGGTGGACAGCTTCAGCGGACAGTTCAGGTCAGTCATCAGCCTCATGCATAGTAGTCTCATAAATAACACATGTATAAAGCTGTGGTCTGTAACTTTTGAGCTGGTCTTTGTTCCTCAGTTCCCATGACGACCTGCGTCTGGACCGCACAGACGTGGACCACATCTGTATGATCTCACTGTGGGACTGCAAACGCAAACTGCGGGTCAAGCTACTGGGCTTTGATGTCCCTCAACTGCCGGAGAAACTACAGGGAAAGAGGTGAGATCAAAGAGAAACTACAGAGGAAGAGGTGAGATCAAAGAGAAACTACAGGAAAGAGGTGAGATCAAAGAGAAACTACAGGGAAAGAGGTGAGATCAAAGAAAAACTACACAAAAGAGGTGAGATCAAAGAGAAACTACAAGGAAAGAGGTGAGATCAAAGAAAAACTACACAAAAGAGGTGAGATCAAAGAGAAACTACAAGGAAAGAGGTGAGATCAAAGAAAAACTACAGGGAAAGAGGTGAGATCAAAGAGGAACTACAGGAAAGAGGTGAGATCAAAGAGGAACTACAGGGAAAGAGGTGAGATCAAAGATAAACTACAGGGAAAGAGGTGAGATCAAAGAGAAACTACAGGAAAGAGGTGAGATCAAAGAGGAACTACAGGGAAAGAGGTGAGATCAAAGAGAAACTACAGGGAAAGAGGTGAGATCAAAGAGGAACTACAGAGAAAGAGGTGAGATCAAAGAAAAACTACAGGGAGTGAGGTGAGATCAAAGAGAAACTACAGGGAAAGGGGTGAGATCAAAGAGAAACTACAGGGAAAGGGGTGAGATCAAAGATAAACTACAGGGAAAGGGGTGAGATCAAAGAGGAACTACAGGGAAAGGGGTGAGATCAAAGAGGAACTACAGGGAAAGGGGTGAGATCAAAGATAAACTACAGAGGAAGAGGTGAGATCAAAGAGAAACTACAGGGAAAGAGGTGAGATCAAAGAGAAACTACAGGGAAAGGGGTGAGATCAAAGATAAACTACAAGGAAAGGGGTGAGATCAAAGAGGAACTACAGAGAAAGAGGTGAGATCAAAGAGAAACTACAGGGAAAGGGGTGAGATCAAAGAGAAACTACAGGAAAGAGGTGAGATCAAAGAGAAACTACAGGGAAAGGGGTGAGATCAAAGAGGAACTACAGGGAAAGAGGTGAGATCAAAGAGAAACTACAGGGAAAGAGGTGAGATCAAAGATAAACTACAGGGAAAGGGGTGAGATCAAAGAGGAACTACAGAGGAAGAGGTGAGATCAAAGAGAAACTACAGGAAAGAGGTGAGATCAAAGAGAAACTACAGAGGAAGAGGTGAGATCAAAGAGAAACTACAGGAAAAAGGTGAGATCAAAGAGAAACTACAGGAAAGAGGTGAGATCAAAGAAACTACAGAGGAAGAGGTGAGATCAAAGAGAAACTACAGGAAAAAGGTGAGATCAAAGAGAAACTACAGGAAAGAGGTGAGATCAAAGAAACTACAGAGGAAGAGGTGAGATCAAAGAGAAACTACAGGGAGTGAGGTGAGATCAAAGAGAAACTACAGAGAAAGAGGTGAGATCAAAGAGGAACTACAGGAAAGAGGTGAGATCAAAGAGGAACTACAGGAAAGAGGTGAGATCAAAGAGAAACTACAGAGAAAGAGGTGAGATCAAAGAGGTGAGATCAAAGAGGTGAGATCAAAGAGGTGAGATCAAAGAGGTGAGATCAAAGAGGTGAGATCAAAGAGGTGAGATCAGAGGGTAAACTCAGCTCTATAGAGAGAGTTAGCACTGAGCCTGTGGGTTAGCATGGAATGGAACTAGCTTTTTGCATTTAGTTAACAGTTAGCATTGAGCTAGAGATTAGCATTGAGCTAGAGGGTTAGCATTGAGCTAGAGGGTTAGCATTGAGCTAGAGGGTTAGCATTGAGCTCGTGGGTTAGTACTGAGCTTGCGTGTTAGCTGTCAGTGGTTTTGACCTATTTGTGTTCCTGCAGCCCGCCGCTCGTGTACGTGGAGGCGTCCATCTTGTACGGCAGTAAAGTGTGGGCCTCCGTTTGCTCCGCCGCCAAACCGATGGCAGAGGAGGTGCTGTGGAACGAGTGGCTGGAGTTCGATGTGCTCCTCAGTGACCTGCCGCGGGGCGCTAAGCTAGGGCTAACCATCAACACCAAGGCTAATGACAGCAGCAAGCAGGAAGTGAAGAGGGCAACAGTTAAAGAGAACAGCAAAGACAACAAGATGGCCGCCGGCAAAGACAACAAGATGGCCGCCGGCGGGAAAGAGGGCAGAAGAGGCTCCTTGCCGCCCCCTGGACTCGTACAGAAGACCGGGTCGCTGAAGGAGAGCATGCTCTACTTTGTAAACCTGCTGCTCATAGACCACAGGTACAAACTCTAACTGATGTTTAAAGCTAAGGTACGTAACTTTACTTTAGTTTCATCAATAACAGTAGTTTGTCTAACAACTTCTCTGTCTGAAAAGGCAGAAAAGTCAGATGTGACAGAGGCCAGAAATGTGTGTGTGCAGTTGTGTGTGTGTGTGTAGTTTTGTGTGTGTGCAGTTTTGTGTGTGTGCAGGTGTGTGTGTGTGTGTAGTTTTGTGTTTGTGCAGGCGTGTGTGTGTGTATGAACTACATCCAACTACATACTATGTAGTTGTGTGTGTGTTTGTGTGTGGTTGTGTGTGTAGTTGTGTGTTTGCCTCAGTTCCCAGTAGAAGTCTTGATGAGGGAGTTCCTGCTCAGATAAAGCAGAGGAAGGGAAGTGTGAACACAAACAGGCCCTGCAGGCTCCGCTCAGACCACACAAACAGGCCCTGCAGGCTCCGCTCAGACCACAGAGCGTGTCAGCCATCAGCAGGTCAATCTGGAGAGACTTCACAGACAAAGGACTAGGTACTGGTGCTCGAAGGCCGAGGCCTGCTGGATTGGATTGCCATGGGTTGGCGTGGGTTTGGCTTGGTTGGCATGGGTTGGCGTGGGTTTGGCTTGGTTGGCATGGGTTGGCGTGGGTTTGGCTTGGTTGGCATGGGTTGGCGTGGGTTTGGCTTGGTTGGCATGGGTTGGCGTGGGTTTGGCTTGGTTGGCATGGGTTGGCGTGGGTTTGGCGTGGTTGGCATGGGTTGGCGTGGGTTTGGCTTGGTTGGCATGGGTTGGCGTGGGTTTGGCTTGGTTGGCATGGGTTGGCGTGGGTTTGGCTTGGTTGGCATGGGTTGGCGTGGGTTTGGCGTGGTTGGCATGGGTTGGCGTGGGTTTGGCTTGGTTGGCATGGGTTGGCGTGGGTTTGGCTTGGTTGGCATGGGTTGGCGTGGGTTTGGCGTGGTTGGCATGGGTTGGCGTGGGTTTGGCGTGGTTGGCATGGCTGTGCCTGGATGGGCTGCAGCAGTCTACCAGACTGACCTTCCACATGCTGCAATTTTTTTCAAAACAAATAGGTTTTTCCTCTCTGCTCTGGTCTGGACCAGTGTAAGACCATGAATCCTCTCTGCTCTGGTCTGGACCAGTGTAAAACCATGAATCCTCTCTGCTCTGGTCTGGACCAGTGTAAAACCATGAACACTGAACTGCAGCAACATCTCATGAATGCCGTTTCCAGCATATTCAAAAGTAAACCTAGTCTAGGTCTTAGTCTGGGTCTCAGTCTGGTCTCAGTTTGGGTCCTGGTCTGGGTCCTAGTCCGGGTCTCAGTGTGGTCTCAGTCTGGGTCCTGGTCTGGGTCCTAGTCCGGGTCTCAGTGTGGTCTCAGTCTGGGTCCTGCTCTGGGTCCTGGCATGGGTCACAGTCTGGGTACCGGTCTGGGTCTCAGTCTGGGTCCTGGTCTTGGTCCTGGTCGGGGTCCTGGTCTGAATCCTTGTCCTGGTCCCGGTCTGGGTCTCAGTCTGGGTCTCAGTCTGGGTCTCAGTCTGGGTCCTGGTCTGGGTCCCGAGCCGGGGTCCTGGTCTGAATCCTTGTCCTGGTCCCGGTCTGGGTCTCAGTCTGGGTCCTGGTCTGGGTTCTGGTCTGGGTCTCGGGTCTGGGTCCTGGTCTGGGTCTCGGCCTGGGTCCTGGTCTGGGTCCTGGTCTGGGTCCTGGTTTGGGTAGTGCTCTGGGTCCTGGTCCCGGTGTGGGTCTCAGTCTGGGTCTGGGTCTCAGTCTGGTCTCTATGCAGGTCCGTGCTGGTCCAGGGCTCTCAGACTCTCTTCATGTGGAGCGGTCAGACCCAGACCCAGGACGCGGTGACCTTCCACGCAGATAAACTGTCCTCAGCCACCAACCCGGACCAGAACCAGGCCGCCGCCATCACCGTGACCTTCGACCGCTACAGCTACCCAGTGGTTCTGCCCAACGCCACCCGAGCCCACGACCAACGGCCCACACCGGTCCCCTCTGCCCCTCCCTCTGCTGCCGCTTCCCCCGAGCTCCCTCAGACTCGCTCGGACCTGGGACACTTCCGGAAGGAGAGCGTCCGCTACGAGTCCAACCTGCCGCAGTATCTCCGACAGGTCAGCGACTGCACGAGCCGTGGAGCTGCGTGAGGAGGAGGAGGCACTGGCTAATCTGAATCTCTCTGGTCCTCTGGTCCATGGTCAATGGTCTCTCTGGTCCCTCTGGTCTCTCTCTGGTCTCCCTCTGGTCTCTTTCTTGTCCCTGGTTTCTCTGGTCTCTTTCTGGGGTCTCTCTGGTATGTTTGGTCTCACTCTGGTGTCTCTGGTCCCTGGTGTCCCTGGTCTCTCTGGTCTCTCTCTGATCTCTCTGGTCTCTCTGATCTCTCTGGTATCCCTGGTCCCTGGTGTTTCTGGTCTCTCTGGTCCCTAATCTCCCTGGTCTCCCTGGTCTCTCTGGTCCCTGGTCTCTAAGGTCTCTCTGGTCCCTGATCTCTCTGGTCCCTGGTCTCTAAGGTCTCTCTGGTCCCTGATCTCTCTGGTCCCTGGTCTCTAAGGTCTCTCTGGTCCCTGATCTCTCTGGTCCCTGGTCTCTAAGGTCTCTCTGGTCTCTGGGGTCTCTCTGGTCCCTGGTCTCTGAGGTCTCCCTGGTCTCTGAGGTCTCCCTGGTCTCCCTGGTCTCCCTGGTCTCTGAGGTCTCTCTGGTCTCTGAGGTCACTCTGGTCCCTGGTCTCTCTGGTCCCTGATCTCTGAGGTCTCCCTGGTCTCCCTGGTCTCCCTGGTCTCTGAGGTCTCTCTGGTCTCTAAGGTCTCTCTGGTCTCTGAGGTCTCTCTGGTCCCTGGTCTCTCTGGTCCCTGGTCTCTGAGGTCTCTCTGGTCTCTGAGGTCTCCCTGTACTCCCTGATCTCTGAGGTCTCTCTGGTCTCTGAGGTCTCTCTGGTCCCTGGTCTCTCTGGTCCCTGGTCTCTGAGGTCTCTCTGGTCTCTGAGGTCTCCCTGTACTCCCTGATCTCTGAGGTCTCCCTGGTCTCTGAGGTCTCTCTGGTACCTGGTCCCTGGTCTCACTGGTCTCTCTGGTCCCTGCAGGTGGACTGGATGAACCGTCAGGCTGTGGAGGATGTACATTGGCTGTTGGGCCAGTGGGGGGCGCCAGAGCAGCTGGACCTGGCTGTGGCCTTGGAGCTGCTGAGTCTGGACTTCATCGACCACAGAGTCCGAAAACTCGCTGTGGACCGACTCTGGCACCTGAGCAACGAGGAGCTACTGCGCTACCTGCTCCAGCTGGTCCAGGTCTGAACCAGGACCAAACCATGTCTAACCGGGTCTAAATGAGGACTAAAGCAGGACTAAAGCAGGACTAAAGCCGGGCTAAAACAGGACTAAAGCGAGACTTAAACAGGTCAAAAACAGGTCTAAAGCAGGACTAAAGCAGGACTAAAGCAGGTCTAAAGCAGGTCTAAAGCAGGACCAAAGCAGGACTAAAGCAGGTCTAAAGCAGGTCTAAAGCAGGACCAAAGCAGGACTAAAGCAGGACTAAAGCAGGTCTAAAGCAGGACTAAAGCAGGACTAAAGCAGGTCTAAAGCAGGTCTAAATCTGACCAAAGCAGGACTAAAACAGGACTAAAGCAGGTCTAAATCTGACCAAAGCAGGACTAAAGCAGGACTAAAACAGGACTAAAGCAGGACTAAAGCAGGTCTAAAGCAGGACTAAAGCAGGACTAAAGCAGGACTAAAGCAGGACTAAAACAGGACTAAAGCAGGTCTAAAGCAGGACCAAAGCAGGACTAAAGCAGGACCAAAGCAAGACTAAAGCAGGACTAAAACAGGACTAAAGCAGGTCCAAACCATGTCTCTCTCTCTTTCAGACCCTGAAGGTGGAGACGTATCATGACAGTTTCTTGGCTCAGTTTCTGATCCAAAGAGCTCTGCAGGTCAGTCCCACATTAGGACCAGGTCTGAGCCAAAACTCGGGTCTAGACCAGGATCCAGGTCTACCAATTCCTGTTGAACTCATCAAACCAGGACCTAAAACCTGCTATGATCTGGGGGTGATGCGCCTGGACCAGACAAAGATCTTGGTCTTCTCCAGAGGCAGGGTTTTGGTCTTCTCCTGGTCCCACAGGGGGGAGCTTGGAGTAGAGCCGCTGCTCCCTCAGTCACTGCTGTCCTTGTGTTTGTCAGAGTAAGAGGATCGGACACTTCCTGTTCTGGTACATGCGCAGTGAGGTCCTGGGCTGTCTGTTCTTCAGGCAGAGGATGGCTGTGGTCCTGGAGGCCTACCTGCTGGGCTGTGGGCGGGACATGACCCAGAGACTACAGCTGCAGGTAAGGACCGGGACCAGGACTAGGACCAGGACCAGGACTGAGACCAGGACTGAGACCAGGACTGAGACCAGGACTGAGACCAGGACTGAGACCAGGACCAGGAGGCCTACCTGCTGGGCTGTGGGCGGGACATGACCCAGAGACTACAGCTACAGGTGAGGATCGGGACCAGGACCATGGCCAGGACCAGGACCGAGACCAGGACTGAGACCAGGACCAGGCCGGACCAGGAGGCCTACCTGCTGGGCTGTGGGCGGGACATGACCCAGAGACTGCAGCTGCGGGTGAAGACCAGGACCAGGACCAGGACCGGGACAGAGACCAGGACTGAGACCAGGACCACGACCAGGAGGCCTACCTGCTGGGCTGTGGGCGGGACATGACCCAGAGACTACAGATACAGGTGAGGGAGGACCAGGACTGAGACCAGGACTGAGACCAGGACTGAGACCAGGACTGAGACCAGGACTGAGACCAGGACTGAGACCAGGAGCCTGTGATGGTGTTGCAGGTGCAGGCGGTGGAGGCTCTGCAGACTGTGGCCCTGAGCCTCGACCAGCTCCTCCAGAAGAGAGACGTGGATCCTCAAGGTGAAGACCAGACCAGACCCAGACCAAGACCCAGAACAGACCCAGACTAGACCCAGACCAAGACTAGACCCAGACCAGACCCAGACTCAGACCAGACTTTCAAACAGTTGCTCAAATTCAAGCTCACCTGTAGCTCTAACTGTAGCTCACCAGTAGCTGACCTTTAGCTCACCAGTAGCTCACCTTTAGCTCACCAGTAGCTCACCTTTAGCTCACCTGTAGCTCTCCTGCAGCTCTCCTGTAGCTCTCCTGCAGCTCTCCTGTAGCTCACCTGTAGCTCTCCTGTAGCTCACCTGTAGCTCACCTGCAGCTCTCCTGTATCTTACCTGTAGCTCTCCTGTAGCTCTCCTGTAGCTCACCTTTTGCTCACCTGTAGCTCTCATGTGCCCTCAGCTCCTCAGTGGCTGCGTGACCTCCTTGAGAAGTGTGACCTTCCCTCAGAGTTTGTTTTGCCGTTCGACCCTCGAATCAAAGTCGGAAAAATCCTGGTGAGGTCATGTGACATCACTGTGACACCAGCTGACCTATGACCTCATGATGGTGTCAAAGTCATGTGACATCTCTCAGGCACCAGCTGACCTCCTGCTGGTTGTGTTGCTGGTGTGTCGCTTGTTGTGTTGCTGGTTTGTTGCTGGTATTGTTGCTGTTGGGTTGATGGTGCATTGATGGTGTGCTGCTGAGTATGTTGCTGGTGCGTTGCTGGTGCGTTGCTGGTTTTGTTGCTGTTGTGTTGATGGTGTGTTGATGGTTGTGTTGCTGGTGTGTTGCTGGTGTGTTGCTGGTGTATTGATGGTTGTGTTGCTGGTGTATTGATGGTTGTGTTGCTGGTGTACTGATGGTTGTATTGGTGGTTGTGTTGCTGGTGTATTGATGGTTGTGTTGCTGGTGTACTGATGGTTGTATTGATGGTTGTGTTGCTGGTGTACTGATGGTTGTATTGATGGCTGTGTTGCTGGTGTGTTGCTGGTGTATTGATGGTTGTGTTGCTGGTGTGTTGCTGGTGTATTGATGGTTGTGTTGCTGGTGTGTTTCTGGTGTATTGATGGTTGTGTTGCTGGTGTGTTGCTGCTGTATTGATGTTTGTGTTGCTGCTGTGTTGCTGGCGTACTGATGGTTTTGTTGATGGTTGTGTTGCTGGTGTGTTGCTGGTGTACTGATGGTTGTATTGATGGTTGTGTTGCTGGTGTATTGATGGTTGTATTGATGGTTGTGTTGCTGGTGTATTGATTTTTGTATTGATGGTTGTATTGCTGGTTGTATTGATGGTTGTGTTGCTGGTGTGTTGATGGTTGTGTTGCTGGTGTATTGATGGTTGTATTGATGTTTGTGTTGCTGGTGTGTTGCTGGTGTATTGATGGTTGTATTGATGTTTGTGTTGCTGGTGTGTTGCTGGTGTATTGATGGTTGTATTGATGGTGTATTGATGGTTGTGTTTCTGGTGTATTGATGGTTGTGTTGCTGGTGTGTTGCTGCTGTATTGATGTTTGTGTTGCTGCTGTGTTGCTGGTGTACTGATGGTTGTGTTGATGGTTGTGTTGCTGGTGTACTGATGGTTGTATTGATGGTTGTGTTGCTGGTGTGTTGCTGGTGTATTGATTTTTGTATTGATGGTTGTATTGCTGGTTATATTGATGTTTGTGTTGCTGGTGTATTGATGGTTGTATTGATGGTTGTGTTGCTGGTGTGTTGATGGTTGTGTTGCTGGTGTATTGATGGTTTTGTTGTTGGTTGTGTTGCTGGTGTATTGATGGTTGTATTGATGGTTGTGTTGCTGGTGTGTTGATGGTTGTGTTGCTGGTGTATTGATGGTTTTGTTGTTGGTTGTGTTGCTGGTGTATTGATGGTTGTATTGATGGTTGTGTTGCTGGTGTGTTGATGGTTGTGTTGCTGGTGTATTGATGGTTGTGTTGCTGGTGTATTGATGGTTGTATTGATGGTTGTGTTGCTGGTGTGTTGATGGTTGTGTTGCTGGTGTATTGATGGTTTTGTTGTTGGTTGTGTTGCTGATGTATTGATGGTTGTGTTGCTGGTGTGTTGATGGTTGTGTTGCTGGTGTATTGATGGTTGTGTTGCTGGTGTGTTGATGGTTGTGTTGCTGGTGTATTGATGGTTGTGTTGATGGTTGTGTTGCTGGTGTATTGATGGTTGTGTTGCTGGTTGTGTTGCTGGTGTGTTGATGGTTGTGTTGCTGGTTGTGTTGCTGGTGTATTGATGGTTGTGTTGCTGGTGTATTGATTTTTGTATTGATGGTTGTATTGATGGTTGTGTTGCTGGTGTATTGATTTTTGTATTGATGGTTGTGTTGCTGGTGTATTGATGGTTGTGTTGCTGGTGTGTTGATGGTTGTGTTGCTGGTGTATTGATGGTTTTGTTGTTGGTTGTGTTGCTGATGTATTGATGGTTGTATTGATGGTTGTGTTGCTGGTGTGTTGCTGGTGTACTGATGGTTGTATTGATGGTTGTGTTGCTGGTGTATTGATGGTTGTATTGATGGTTGTGTTGCTGGTGTATTGATTTTTGTATTGATGATTGTATTGCTGGTTGTATTGATGGTTGCGTTGCTGGTGTGTTGATGGTTGTGTTGCTGGTGTATTGATGGTTGTATTGATGTTTGTGTTGCTGGTGTGTTGCTGGTGTATTGATGGTTGTATTGATGTTTGTGTTGTTGGTGTGCTGTGCTGCTGGTGTATTGATGGTTGTATTGATGGTGTATTGATGGTTGTGTTTCTGGTGTATTGATGGTTGTGTTGCTGGTGTGTTGCTGCTGTATTGATGTTTGTGTTGCTGCTGTGTTTTTGGTGTACTGATGGTTGTGTTGCTGGTGTGTTGCTGGTGTACTGATGATTGTATTGATGGTTGTGTTGCTGGTGTGTTGCTGGTGTATTGATTTTTGTATTGATGGTTGTATTGCTGGTTGTATTGATGTTTGTGTTTCTGGTGTATTGATGGTTGTATTGATGGTTGTGTTGCTGGTGTGTTGATGGTTGTGTTGCTGGTGTATTGATGGTTTTGTTGTTGGTTGTGTTGCTGGTGTATTGATGGTTGTATTGATGGTTGTGTTGCTGGTGTGTTGATGGTTGTGTTGCTGGTGTATTGATGGTTTTGTTGTTGGTTGTGTTGCTGGTGTATTGATGGTTGTATTGATGGTTGTATTGATGGTTGTGTTGCTGGTGTGTTGATGGTTGTGTTGCTGGTGTATTGATGGTTGTATTGATGGTTGTGTTGCTGGTGTGTTGATGGTTGTGTTGCTGGTGTATTGATGGTTGTGTTGCTGGTGTATTGATGGTTTTGTTGTTGGTTGTGTTGCTGATGTATTGATGGTTGTGTTGCTGGTGTGTTGATGGTTGTGTTGCTGGTGTATTGATGGTTGTGTTGCTGGTGTGTTGATGGTTGTGTTGCTGGTGTATTGATGGTTGTGTTGATGGCTGTGTTGCTGGTGTATTGATGGTTGTGTTGCTGGTTGTGTTGCTGGTGTGTTGATGGTTGTGTTGCTGGTTGTGTTGCTGGTGTATTGATTTTTGTATTGATGGTTGTGTTGCTGGTGTATTGATGGTTGTATTGATGGTTGTGTTGCTGGTGTGTTGATGGTTGTGTTGCTGGTGTATTGATGGTTTTGTTGTTGGTTGTGTTGCTGATGTATTGATGGTTGTATTGATGGTTGTGTTGCTGGTGTGTTGATGGTTGTGTTGCTGGTGTATTGATGGTTGTGTTGCGGGTGTGTTGATGGTTGTGTTGCTGGTGTATTGATGGTTGTGTTGCTGGTTGTGTTGCTGGTGTATTGATGGTTGTGTTGATGGTTGTGTTGCTGGTGTATTGATGGTTGTGTTGCTGGTTGTGTTGCTGGTGTATTGATGGTTGTGTTGCGGGTGTGTTGATGGTTGTGTTGCTGGTGTATTGATGGTTGTGTTGATGGTTGTGTTGCTGGTGTATTGATGGTTGTGTTGCTGGTTGTGTTGCTGGTGTATTGATGGTTGTGTTGCGGGTGTGTTGATGGTTGTGTTGCTGGTGTATTGATGGTTGTGTTGCTGGTTGTGTTGCTGGTGTCTAGCTGGGCCGCTGTAAGGTGATGGCGTCTAAGAAGAAGCCGATGTGGCTGGAGTTTGAGCCCAGTCCGACTCCGCTGAGCTCTGAGTCTGTGGGAGTCATCTTTAAGTACGGAGACGACCTGCGACAAGACATGCTGGTCATACAGGCGAGGAGGGTTTCTCACTCTGAGGGGGTTTCTCACTCTGAGGTCTGTGTCTCACTCTGAGGTCTGTCTCACTCTGAGGGGTCTCTCTCACTCTGAGGTCTGTCTCACTCTGAGGGGCTTCTCTCCCTCTGAGGTCTCTCTCACTCTGAGGTCTGTCTCACTCTGAGGTCTGTCTCACTCTGAGGGGTTTCTCTCACTCTGAGGTCTGTCTCACTCTGAGGGGCTTCTCTCCCTCTGAGGTCTCTCTCACTCTGAGGTCTGTCTCACTCTGAGGTCTGTCTCACTCTGAGGGGTCTCTCTCACTCTGAGGTCTCTCTCCCTCTGAGGTCTGTCTCACTCTGAGGTCTCTCTCACTCTGAGGTCTGTCTCACTCTGAGGGGTTTCTCTCACTCTGAGGTCTCTCTCACTCTGAGGTCTGTCTCACTCTGAGGTCTCTCTTACTCTGAGGGAGTCTCTCTCACTCTGAGGTCTCTATCACTGTGAGGTCTGTCTCACTCTGAGGGGGTCTCTCTCACTCTGAGGTCTCTCTCACTGTGAGGTCTCTCTTACTCTAAGGTCTCTCTTACTCTGAGGTCTATCTCACTCTGAGGGGTCTCTACACTGAGGTCTCTCTTACTCTGAGGTCTCTCTCTCTCTGAGATCTCTATTACTCTGAGGGGTCTCTGTCTTACATTGAGGGGTCTCTCTCTCACGTTGGGGGTCTCTCTCTACAGACCTTCGTGCTGATGGACTCGATCTGGCAGGACAAGTCTCTGGACCTGAACCTGGTCCCGTACGGCTGCATCGCCACGGGATACAATATTGGTAACAGGATCAGGACCAGGACCAGGACCAAGACCAGGACCAAGACCAATACCAAGACCAGGACCAAGACCTGGACCAGGACCAGGACCAGGACCAAGACCAGGACCAGGACCAGGACCAGGACCAATACCAAGACCAGGACCAAGACCAGGACCAAGACCAAGACCACACTAACTTGCACGATGTGTGTGTCTCTGAATGTGTGTCTGTGTGTGTATTTGTATCTGTGTGTGTTTGTGTGGATGTGTGCATTTTTGTGTCTGGTTGTGTATGTGGATGTGTATGTGTGTGTGTGTCTGGGTGTGTACGTGTGTGTGTGTGTGTGTGTGTCTGTGTGCGTTTGTATCTCTGTGTGGATGTGTGCGTTTGTGTGTGTGTGTGTGTGTATTGTGTGTATGTCTGGGTGTGTATGTGGATGTGTGTGTGTGTGTGTGTGTTGTGTGTATGTCTGGGTGTGTGTGTGTGTGTGTGTGTGTGTCTGTGTATGTGTGTGTGTGTGTGTATGTGTGTGTGTCTGTGTGTGTGTCTGTGTGTGTAGGGATGATTCAAACTGTGCGTAACGCCGTTACCATAGCAGCCATACAGAGAAGTTTTGGGGGCAGTGCAAGCGCATTTAAAGACGACGCACTGTTTGAATGGCTCAAGTCCAAGTGCCCCCTGCAGGAGATGGTGAGTATTGCATCCTACAGGAGAGACCAGAGAGAGACCAGAGAGAGACCAGAATGAGACCAGAGTGAGACCAGAGAGAAACCAGCGTGAGACCAGAGTGAGACCAGAGTGAGACCAGAGAGAAACCAGCGTGAGACCAGAAACCAGAGAGAGAGACCAGAGTTTCAGTCACTCTGATCTTGGTTTCTGGTCCTCAGCACTTCCAGACGGTCGAGACGTTCGTGAGGTCATGTGCCGGATACTGCGTGGCGAGCTACGTCCTTGGGATCGGCGACCGTCACAACGACAACATCATGGTGACCGAGTCCGGTGAGTGTGACATCACCACAGTGTGACATCACCTCAGTGTGACATCACCACAGTGTGACATCACCTCAGTGTGACATCACCTCAGTGTTAGCCTTAATGCAGAAGAAGCTGATTTGAACATAAGCTGGAGCCAGTTTCCTTATATGGGCATTTGTTCGGACAATGTTATAGCTTTGGGCTGTAACAAGGACAGACATATTTCCCCCTGAATGAAGGCCTCTGATTGGCCAGTCCTTATATGGTCATATCTGTATTTACAAAGACAATAATATAAACACCAGGATCACAGAGAGCCATTGTGAGTTACTGAGCTAGAGGAGTTTACTTTTACATGGAAGTCAGCAGGAGCCAGAGAGAGCTAGCGTGTTAGCATAGAGCTAGCAGGTTAGCATTGTCCATCTGTGCACAGTCCATGCCCTGGACCCTCGTGGACCTCACCTTAAACCTGTGGTTGTTCTGCAGGAAACTTGTTCCACATCGACTTCGGTCACATCCTGGGGAACTGGAAACGCTTCCTGGGCCAGAGCCGAGAGCGCGTCCCCTTCGTGCTCACCCCAGACTTCCTCTACGTCATGGGCCGCGTCAAGCCCAAGACCTCGCTGTACTTCGAGCGCTTTAAGGTGAGTCCCAGCAGGAGGTCCCTGTGCTCCTCAGAGTCCCAGCAGGAGGTCCCTGTACTCCTCATAGTCCCAGCAGGAGGTCCCTGTGCTCCTCAGAGTCCCAGCAGGAGGTCGATGTGCTCCTCATAGTCCCAGCAGGAGGTCCCTGTGCTCCTCAGAGTCCCAGCAGGAGGTCCCTGTACTCCTCATAGTCCCAGCAGGAGGTCCCTGTGCTCCTCAGAGTCCCAGCAGGAGGTCCCTGTACTCCTCATAGTCCCAGCAGGAGGTCCCTGTGCTCCTCAGAGTCCCAGTAGGAGGTCCCTGTACTCCTCATAGTTCCAGCAGGAGGTCCCTGTGCTCCTTAGAGTCCCAGCAGGAGGTCCCTGTGCTCCTCAGAGTCCCAGCAACAGGTCCCTGTGCTCCTCAAAGTCCCAGCAGGAGGTCCCTGTGCTCCTCAGAGTCCCAGCAACAGGTCCCTGTGCTCCTCAAAGTCCCAGCAGGAGGTTCCTGTGCTCCTCAGAGTCCCAGCAGGAGGTCCCTGTGCTCCTCAGAGTCCCAGCAGGAGGTCCCTGTGCTCCTCATAGTCCCAGCAGGAGGTCCCTGTACTCCTCAGAGTCCCAGCAGGAGGTCCCTGTACTCCTCATAGTCCCAGCAGGAGGTCCCTGTGCTCCTTAGAGTCCCAGCAGGAGGTCCCTGTGCTCCTCAAAGTCCCAGCAGGAGGTCCCTGTGCTCCTCAGAGTCCCAGCAGGAGGTCCCTGTGCTCTTAAAAGTCCCAGCAGGAGGTCCCTGTGCTCCTTAGAGTCCCAGCAGGAGGTCCCTGTGCTCCTCAAAGTCCCAGCAACAGGTCCCTGTGCTCCTCAAAGTCCCAGCAGGAGGTTCCTGTGCTCCTCAGAGTCCCAGCAGGAGGTCCCTGTGCTCCTCAGAGTCCCAGCAGGAGGTCCCTGTGCTCCTCATAGTCCCAGCAGGAGGTCCCTGTACTCCTCAGAGTCCCAGCAGGAGGTCCCGGTACTCCTCATAGTCCCAGCAGGAGGTCCCTGTGCTCCTCAAAGTCCCAGCAGGAGGTCCCTGTGCTCCTCAAAGTCCCAGCAGGAGGTCCCTGTGCTCTTCAAAGTCCCAGCAGGAGGTCCCTGTGCTCCTCACTAGCTTACTTCTTACTCATAATAATATCTCGTTTTGCTCATGTGTGTCTGTTGTGTATTATTTGTGTGTCTGTTGTGTATCAGTTGTGTACTATTTGTGTGTCTGTTGTGTATCCGTTGTGTATTAGTTGTGTGTCTGTTGTGTGTCTCCAGGACCTCTGTCTGGAAGCCTACCTCTCCCTCTGCTCACGGTCCCACCTCCTGGTGACGCTGTTCTCCATCATGGAGCTGACTGGGATCCGGGAGCTGAGCGAGGCGTCCGACATGCGGTACCTGCGGGAGGTGCTGCAGGAGGGGCGGAGCCAGGAGCACGCGCGCTCGCACTTCCTGGAGCAGATTGACGTCTGCGAGGCTGACAGCTGGAAGGTGCAGGCCAACTGGTGGTTCCACATGGTCGCGGGGAGCAAGGGCTGAGACCACGGCCCAGGTCTCACATGTTTAATGTCTCTCTCTATTGTACTTTTTTAATTGTGACAATAAATAAACTCTTTTTTGGCTTTGACATCATTTTGGCATTTTGGCTCAGATGAACAGACATTTTGGCTCAGATGAACAGACATTTTGGCTCAGATGAACAGACATTTTGGCTCAGATGAACAGACATTTTGGCTCAGATGAAGGGTTAAAAAAGCAGATGTTGTGTTGCTGCGACACGTCTCAGACACAGATGTTTTCAACAACAACTTTTAACTAATAACAGTTTTACCTTAACAACTGCATTCTCCAGACCTGGTCCAGACCCAGATGAGGCCTTCTTTAGACCTGCTTTAGACCTGCTTTAGACCTAACCTGGCAAGAGCCAGATTGATGATTGTGTAGAACTCTAATGCGTTCTCCACAATATCAATCTGGGACTTCTGCAGGAGAATCCTTTCGGGGAAAGGAGGGATAAGCAGCAGAATACTTCAAGCTGATTGGGCGAAGTGACGCCGTGTGCCCGCCTCCCAAGGTTTGACTTAAACCAATCCCAGTAACATTATGTGGTCATCGGCGTGCGCCCTGAGAAACCACCATAAGTTGCGCTGGACTAAACTAGTTTTATTTGGCTCATGACTGCTTTATCATCATGATGTTGAATGACTTTTGCCGTTTTTGTAGTACAAATTTGCGGATTAAAGGCAACCTCGCCAACACAACGCTAATTTTTGAAAGTCGATCGTCGGACAAATGCGTGATCAAAAAAGAAATTGGAGATTCTGCTAAAACTGACTTGATAGCCTCAGCTACGCGTCCGTCCTCCTGCGTAGCCATGTTTGTTTTGCTTCGGCCCGGCACTTCTTGCTTTCGTCAAACCCGGATATCCCGCCCTAAACCCCCAGACTGGCGCGTGATTGGCTTGAACACCTGGATGTTCTACTCGAAAAGGGTTGGCGGGAGCGGGACAAGATGTATTCTCGAGTGTTTGTGAACTCACAAATACCGCGAGAATTCAGCTTGCAGGCAAGGTTACTTTAGACCTGCTTTAGACCTGCTTTAGACCTGCTTTAGTCCTATTTCAGACTTGCTTTGGTCCAGCTTTAGTCCTAACTGTGTAAATGCCAGTAAAGGGAAGTGACTATAATGATGTGTTTCTACAAAATCATAAAGTATCACACTACTGCAATACTTTGATACTTACTTACTTTGTTACTTTCACCAAATATATAAATACAAACTAAATGTAGCTATTGATGCTAGCTTGAGGCTGATAGAGCGTTTGTTTTAACATAACATAACTGTTATGTTACACATCTTTAACAAACCCTAAATAATGGAGTCTGTCCATCTGTAAAATGTACTATTGTCCTGATGGTGCTGCCTCAGCCTCAGCGTCTTCTACCAGAAAGGAACAACACTTTTAGACTAATACCATGTGAGCAGATGTGTTCTCCTGGTCTGGCAGTGGCAGAGTATGATAACAAAACACTATTTAATTTCAGTTAAAATAAGATGTAACGTTTCTGATCTTTGTACTGAGTCAAATATTACCCAGATTTACAATTCTGCAAAACATTACAGTGATTATGTTAGAGTCATTACAGTACTTGTGTAACGCGTTACTCCCAACCATAGGCTGTACATATTTACACTGATTAACACATAAAAAAGGGACAAACACGTGATTTTCAAAACACTATCTTGTTACATCACGTGACGAAGGCGGGTTACAGCTTTTGTGATTGTTTTTATTGTCACTACTTTTGAAGAACTTGTGCCCTGGTGTTGGACTGCACAGTGTCCCCTGGGGCCCCTCCTGCACAGCCTCCACAGCCTCCACACACTTACGCCCCTGGCTCTGCCCCCTCCTGCCCCCTCCTGCCCCCTCCTGCCCCCACCTGTCCCGGGACCCTCAGCCCACACGCAGGCGGGATAACAGCCCGGGTACAGGCTCTCCTCCACACGGGACTCTCTCTCTGCTCCAGCCGAACAGGAGCGCTCGTCTCCCGGCCGTGTGAAGCAGGTGGGTCGCTCTCTCTCCGGTCTCTCTCTCCGGTCTCTCGCTCTCCGGTCTCTCTCTCTCCGGGCTCTCTCTCTCCGGTCTCTCTCTCTCCGGGCTCTCTCTCTCCGGGCTCTCTCTCTCCGGGCTCTCGCTCTCCGGGCTCTCGCTCTCTCCGGTCTCTTCTCGCACTAAACTCAAGTCTCACGGTTCGCAGTTTGGCGCATGTTGCACTTTTGTGGCCAGTTTGATCCACTTATACTCATTTTTCTCCACAAGTGAGTTTCCGCGTTTAGCCTCCAGGAGAGTCCCCACACACAGTGACCTGCTTTAGACCTGCTTTAGCCCTGCTTTAGACCTGCTTTAGTCCTGCTTTAGTCCTGCTTTAGTCCTGCTTTAGACCTGCTTTAGACCTGCTTTAGTCCTGCTTTAGACCTGCTTTAGTCCTGCTTTAGTCCTGCTTTAGTCCTGCTTTAGTCCTGCTTTAGTCCTGCTTTAGTCCTGCTTTAGACCTGCTTTAGTCCTGCTTTAGTCCTGCTTTAGACCTGCTTTAGACCTGTTTTAGATCTGCTTTAGTCCTGCTTTAGTCCTGCTTTAGTCCTGCTTTAGTCCTGCTTTAGACCTGCTTTAGTCCTGCTTTAGTCCTGCTTTAGACCTGCTTTAGACCTGTTTTAGATCTGCTTTAGTCCTGCTTTAGACCTGCTTTAGACCTGCTTTAGTCCTGCTTTAGACCTGCTTTAGACCTGCTTTAGACCTGCTTTAGTCCTGCTTTAGACCTGCTTTAGACCTGCTTTAGTCCTGCTTTAGACCTGCTTTAGTCCTGCTTTAGACCTGCTTTAGACCTGCTTTAGACCTGCTTTAGACCTGCTTTAGTCCTGCTTTAGACCTGCTTTAGACCTGCTTTAGTCTTTCTTAGACCTGCTTTAGTCCTGCTTTAGACCTGCTTTAGACCTGCTTTAGTCCTGCTTTAGTCCTTCTTTAGACCTGCTTTAGACCTGCTTTAGTCCTGCTTTAGACCTGCTTTAGACCTGCTTTAGACCTGCTTTAGTCCTTCTTTAGACCTGCTTTAGTCCTGCTTTAGACCTGCTTTAGTCCTTCTTTAGACCTGCTTTAGTCCTGCTTTAGACCTGCTTTAGTCTTTCTTAAGACCTGCTTTAGTCCTGCTTTAGACCTGCTTTAGTCCTGCTTTAGACCTGCTTTAGTCCTGCTTTAGACCTGCTTTAGTCCTGCTTTAGACCTGCTTTAGACCTGCTTTAGACCTGCTTTAGACCTGCTTTAGACCTGCTTTAGTCTTTCTTAAGACCTGCTTTAGTCCTGCTCTGGACCTGCTTCATGCACTTGACTCGTGGACTTTGATCGTGGGTGTGGTAAAGTTACACTGATGTGACACAGGCTGAAAAATGAGAAAACTGTGTGTGTGTGTGTCTATGTGTGTGTGTGTGTGTGTGTGTGTGTGTGTGTGTGTGTGTGTGTGTGTGTGTGTGTGTGTGTGTGTGTGTGTGTGTGTGTGTGTGTGTGTGTGTGTGTATGTGTGTGTGTGTGTGTGTGTGTGTGTGTGTGTGTGTGTGTGTGTGTGTGTGTGTGTGTGTGTGTGGTGTGTGTGTGTGTGTGTGTGTGTGTGTGTGTGTGTGTGTGTGTGTGTGTGTGTGTGTGTGTGTGTGTGTGTGTGTGTGTGTGTGTGTGTGTGTATGTGTGTGTGCGCGCGCATGCGTGTGTCTAACGGAGGGGGCAGCATCATGCTTTGGGGCTGCTTTTCTTCTGCTGGGACAAACACTTCAGACAATGACTTTGCATCAGAACCATGGCCACAGTTCCCATGGTGCTTTGCAGATTATTGCAGCTTTAACCAGCTCACACTGATACACACACACACACACGCACACACATGCACGCACACACACACAGACACACGCACACACAGGCATAGACACACATACACACACACACACACACAAATGCACACA